GGTGACTTTAACCTCCTACGCGTCATGGGTGACTTTAACCTCCTACGTGTCATGGGTGACTTTAACCTCCTACGTGTGATGGGTGACTTTAACCTCCTACGTGTGATGGGTGACTTTAACCTCCTACGTGTGATGGGAACGTCAGGTCTCGGCTGCTCCTTCCTCCACGACGGGACGAAGACGGTGACATCGGAGTGACCTCGGTCCAGGAAGAAGTTCACAGCCAGCTGGATCCCCAGGCAGGAAAAGACCTCCTTGTTCCCGTGGCTGGATGAAACAGGAGCATCAGATCAGAACCAAGATTTGACCGTTTCTGCTTTCATCGACACATTAATTTACATGTGAGCACAGAGGTGGAAAAGTTTCAGAGACCGTTTCAAATTTTAAACTTTGAATCAAAGGGATGCTTATAAAAATAATTAAAGATAAAGTGTTTAGCTGCCACCAGTGTCTCTGTTTGACTGCTGCTGCGAATAAAATCATAAAGTAAAAGGAGAAATCATTTAGACATTTCATTTCAGGACATTTCAGTGCCAGATGTTCCACAGCTGGACGTGTAGATTTGAACAGAAACAGGATCTGGCTGTTTTGATCCAGAAAATCCAAAGCAATAAAAGAAACAAACTCATTGTTTTTTTGAGAACTTTAGTTTAATTTGGCCACAGGTAGAGATGCTCCATCAGTCCACTGGACCAGAACCTTTCTGATGTCTCAGCAGATGATGTGCACCTCTGAGGTGTAACGGCTTCAGTTTTTCTGTGTTTAATAAAAACATCCAGAGTGCCATCCGGCAGAAACACCCGTCTTTAAATCGTTATGAAAACCAGATCATTATCCGTATCAGTGGTTTGAACGGAGACATTCCACCTGTCAGGGTTTTTACATTTGGACCAATTCATCCAGGAAACTCCTCAGCTGAGCCTGCAGGATGTTCTGGGCTCAGACTGGAACCGGAGCGCTGGCAGTGAATGCTGCCGGGCCGGATCTGTTCAGACAAGCTGCAAACACACAAACCAAGGGTGCGCTCAGATTTGCATAATAAGGACGGAAGATTCAACGTGCCTGAGCCTGCGTGCACGACTGAAAGTTCAAACCACAAGCTGCACAAGCTGCGTGTGCATGAAGTGAACGTGCACAAAGACAGCATGCACAAAAAGCGTGAGAGGTTTGAGGTCAGTAGGATTTTCTGTAAAAATCATGTTGAACTGCTGCTGAAAGGAAACGGTTTCATTCTACTTCCTACATCTTCACATTAAAACGTAAATTCATCAAACACCTTGTGATTTTATCTTCAGCCGTCAGCGTCTGACTAAACGACAAAATTATCTGTAACGTGCACGTTTGGGGGCAGTGACAGGAAACGGACGTCTCTCGTTGGTTTTGCTTCTGAGCGTCCGTCGTTTTCTGAAGCTTCTCCAGGTCTGAACTCCTCCGAACAGCTGAACCTTTTAGCTGCTTTAGCACCAAAGAAACGGGTTGAAAAGGTCAAATCCAAAACCAAATCTAGAAAAGTTAATCTGGTCCTCTGGACGTTCAAGAAACAAAAACAATGTAGAAACGTTTCTTCTCTCATCCTGAGGACTTCCTCAGTCTGAGGAGCTGTATTCAGCTCAGTCTCTTAAATAGCACCTTCTCAGGGTGGATCAACCAGTTTTGCTGCTGACAACCAGAACCAGCTGATCACATGCTCAAGAAGGACCATCAGCCTAACAATGGATCATTAGCACCTGATGGCTGTTTACTGTTCACAGAGGGCTGAGTGATACTAGCAATCACAGCATTGTAAGAGGGGGACAGTTGAACCCGGAGGCTCCGCCCCTGTTTAATGATGGACGGTTTCTTTTCACAAAGATGGCCTCCTTTACTCCTCTCTCAAACCATCGTTCCTCTCTGTCCAGGATGTGCACATGTTTAGACACGTTTTACACATCTTCAGCGTCCTCAACCGACAGTACGGACAGACACAATCTTCCACTGCCCCCAGGAATCCACTGTGTATCTGGCTGCTGGTGTCCCGTCGGGGCAGGAGGGCTCTCCTTCGTCCCGTCTTCTTGTTGAGAAAATCGGATCGTGTTGAGACCAGCTGACCAGATCCAGTTCACTATTCAGAAGATGCACACAGAGGTTCTGAAAAATGTTTCACAGGACAAAGAGCAGGGACGGAGCAGGAGGGACAGGTAAAGTTGCATTCAGGACCAAAAATCTGACCCGACTCCAGCCCGTAGCCATCATTTCAGAACCCCGCCCGACCAGACGAATTAACAATAATTACAGGTCGGACCCCCCCCACACTCAAACACATTTTTAATTAAGCTTCGACTGTTTATAAATGAGTCTTCTAGGCTCAGTGTGACTCATCTAAGTAAAGGTTGAATGGATGAATATAGTTAACAAGAATCGGTGGACGCACGCAGCTGAATAAAAGGTGCAGCAGCTCGGAGCTCAGGGGGTGTTTGTCCTTTCATGGCCGTCAAAGCTCATTAATCCCTGCTTCTGCTGCACTCTGCATGATTCAGACACGGACCCTGCTCCGACATGTCTGCTTTGTGATGTCACCTGTTTGGGTCGTCGGCCGCGCGCGTCCACCGAGTGCAGCGGCTGAACGTCCATTTGGATGATGGATCTGTGCCTGGCAGCACCAGTACTCCATCTGAAGGTTAACTGAACTTTGTTTTTTAATCTTTCATGGCCGGTCAGCGGGCGGTCAAATGGCCGCGTGGCTGGTGAAAGTATGGCAAGCCATGTTGCCATATAATTGGACCGTCAGCTGAGGCAATCAAAAGCCTGACACCGACCCGGCCGCCCATCCAGCACATTATTATGGCCCGGCCCAAATTCAGGTCGGGTCACGCTTCAGGCCCGGATTAGAAATAAGAGCTCTGAGTGTTTGCCTCCAGCGCGGACAAGAAAAGATGAAACACATGACGAGCTGAGCCGTGCTGCTGGAACACCTGAGCTCCTCCGTGTTCTCTGCAGAGCTTTTCATACGTTTGTCAGAAGTTTTGTTTAAATCAAGACTTTGATGTTTTGAGCGACGAGCGCAGTCGTAGATCTGCTGCACATGAACTGCTCTGCTCGTTTCCAGGTGGATTCAGAGTGAAATCCTCAGCAGGTCGGTGCGAGAGCTTCACGCTGAGGCTGCACGTGAACCACCTGAAACGCTCAGGTGAGTCACCGGCGCCTGAACTGCATCAGCCCGGACCTCAGACTCTCTGCGAGAAGCTCGTGCTGCTGCCGACACTGAACCGGGTCGAGTCAGAACTCAGTTCTGTGTGAGGCTCAAATGGTTCAACAGGTTTCATTTGATCTGTTAAATATGAAGCAGTTGATTCATGAAACTCTTCTACTTCAAATAATAAAAAGTTTCTACAACAGGTTTTATTGGAGTTCTGATCCAAACTGAGTTCTGGGATCTAAAGTTCTGAATCTCACCTCATGGCCACGTTGCTACCGTCGATCACCACGGCCCTCAGAACAGGTCCACCTCCATCCTCCTGGTTCTGCACAGACGGGTCGCTGACGGGCAGCAGCAGCTCGGGGCCCCCGGCCCGAGGGCTCCCTCTGGGCACCGACACGGTGGTCACCGGGCCCAGATCGGCGTCCCGCCCCGCCCTGATCCGGACCAGCTCACCCAGAACTTTGTCTGTGTCGGCGCCGAACTTCTGCTGGACGGCCTGGACCTGGGCCGTGGAGTAACCCAGCTTGTGAAAGAAGTCCAGCTGGGCCTGGAGGGGCCGGGGGTCCGGCTCCAGCATCGACCCTTGGGGGCCACGAGTTCTGCTCCACGGCTGCACAGCTGGAAGGAAACCAACATCTGCTTTCATCTCAGTTTCATGTTTCACCTGCAGGAAAGACCCAAGATCGATCGATCAATCAATCAATCAATCAACCAACCAATCAATCAATCAAGGGAGACAAATAAGACTTTTCATTTTTTAAATATCTTCCATGTCAAAATAAAAAAGTAATTCCAATTCAATTAAAATTTGATGTTCACCCCTTCAAAGTCAAAACGGTGAAAGTTTCTGTCAAAGTTCTGAACTCCTTCAGGCTGAGCCCAGCAGAACCGAACCGGAACCAGGAGAGTCCATGTTCTCTGTGCGCCTCGGAGTTCACCTGAGCTCAGGTGAGTCTGTGCGCGCGGGAGCCTCTGCTGCTCTGAGCAGGAAGGAGCAGCAGGAGGTGGAGGAGGAGGTGCAGGCACAAACGGGTGGAGGGGTTCCCCTAAGCAGTCTGAGGTCGCGTGACGGATTTCAGATTACACGAGACTTCCGGTAGAGGCTCCAAAGTTTACAGAACCTGACCTCTGGTTCGTTTCATGCAGGTTTGATGCATCCAGGTGCTTCTTCTTCTTCTTCTTCTTCTTCTTCTTCTTCTTCTTCTTCTTCTTCTTCTTCTTCTTCTTCTTGTTTTAGTTTAATTGGCGGATTGTAAACAACGTGCAGGTGCGTTCCGCCACCTACTGAGCAAGAGTGTGTAACTCATGGTCTCCTTTCCCTAAATTCTATTTTTAATATTTATGTTGTGTACAGAACTAAACAAGTCTTTTCTAACATCACTTATTTTCCACACGTTCTGGTTCCCACATTCTTCACATCGACTGTTGTTCCTTTTCCCCGTCATGAACATTGTATCATTTACAAGTGCATGTCCAACCCTCATTATTCTCACCTCTTCTACTTCTTTCTCTAGAATTACTTATCCTAACTGCTTTTTGTATTTTGTATAATCTTCTTCCTTTCTTGTCCTCAGTCCAGTTTTCTGCCAGTTCTCTTTCTTTAATTAATGATTTACCCTCTCCTTTTCCCAACATAATATTTACTGTTATTTCCCCCTTCAATGTCTTTTTTAGCGAGTTTATCTGCTCTTTCATTTCCTTCCACCCCTCGTGTGCCTCATGCACCCAACACAACTGAACGTCCACGCCTCCCTGTGTCACCTGAACAATGCGAGCTGTATTTCTAGCAGAAGATCTTTCCTGTTGTTTCCTTTAGACTGAATGATTTCTACGACAGCCTTTGAGTCGGTGCATATCACCACCCTGTCCGGTCTAACCTCCTCCGTCCACTGTAGACTAAATATGACTGCCACCGTTTCTGCTGTGAACACTGAGAGATGATCAGAAATCCTTTTAGATGTACAAACTTCAAACTCTGGAATATAAACCCATATTCCCGCCCACCCCTTTGTGTTCTTTGAGCCATCTGTATATCACAGTCAGAGTTTCTTTATTGTCATTCGCACCTCATGTGGTACATGTGGTGGAGCGAAATTATGTCCACAGGGTCCCAGTTACATCCAACAATAAAATGTCTAAGAAAAACAGTAATAACATCTAAGATATGAACTAAGAAAAACATCAACTAAATATACACTAAGCACTCATAACATAAAACATTGAACATCAGCACAAACATGAACATGAGTCTGTGAGCAGATGTGCACGCATGAACACATCAACATTGAAACAGATCAGCAGCAACATGAAACAGATCAGCAGCAACATGAAACAGATCAGCAGCAACATGATATGGTTTTTCACAGTGATTATTCTAGTTAGAGATTCATGAGTACCTGTATATATATTTACAGGTAATTAAAATATGTCTCTCTAATGTATTTGCTGCTTTTCACCCCATTTCATTTTTTTTCCATTCTCTTTTCATTTCAAGAATTTTCATGTCTACTTTACTTTCTGGAATCAACCATAGAGAATTAACACTGTTTGGACTAATCTGTGCGAAATCTTTATTTTCTATTCCATATAATCCAGCTAGTTTGTTTATTTTCCAACCAAAACCATTTCTGTGATATTTGTTTTATTCCCAGCAGTTCTGGATTGTTGCTGCTGCAGGATTTCCTTCTTTACTTCCTGTGAGTTTCACCCAGTAAGTTAATGAAAGTTTAGTTCTTCTCATTTCTAACGGAGTCTCACCAGTTTCTATAAGAAGAGCATTAATGGGGGTCGTCTTCATTGCTCCTGTGCACACCCGTAACGCTCTGGATTGAATCTGTCTAGTTTCTGGAGAGTTGTATTTGCTGCTGCTCCATGCACGATGCATCCATGGTCCAAAGTTGATCTCATGAGAGCTCTGTAGATATTTAAAAGTGACTGTTTGTCTGCTCCCCAGTTGTTTCCTGCCACTGCTTCATTACATTAAGGACTTTCTTACACTTTGTTTCCACCTGTTTTAAATGTGTTTGCCATGTGTATGACCTGTCTAACCATATACCTAGATATTTAAATTCATTAACCATTTTTAAAGGTTGTCCATATAATAAGACATTTCCAATATTTATCTTCTTTTTGTTTGTAATCATCATGTAGCTGGTTTTGCTTACAGACAGTTTGAAACCCCATTCATACGACCAGCTCTCTATTTGATTAACTGCTTTTCTTATGTTTTTAACGACATGTGGCACATTTCTCCCCCTCATCCATATTGCTCCATCATCTGCATATAAAGCTGATCTGATGCCTCTGTCAAGATTTGCAAATATGTCGTTAATCATAACGTTGAATAAAACTGGACCAATTACACTGCCTTGAGGGGTGCCGTTTTCCACTTTGAAGTGTCTTGATAATTCACCCCCAACTTTTACTTTAATTGTCCTATCTTTAAAGAAACTGGTAATCCAGTTATACATCCTCCCATCTATTCCCATTTGTTCTGGTTTTATTAGCAGCCCTTCCCTCCACATAGAACCATAAACTTTTTATATGTCAAAGAAAACTATGATCATCATTTCTTTCATTTTTAGTGTTTTTTCATATTACACACTCTTACCAGTGCATCTACTGTGGACCGACCAGTTCTAAAACCACACTGGTAGTTACTAATAAGTTCTCTTTTTTCCAGGACGTACATTAATCTGTTAATTAATATTTCTCCATCAGTTTACATAAATGAGAAGTTAAAGCTATGGGTCTGTAGTTGTCTGAACTTGTTGGATCTTTCCCTGGTTTATTAAATGGGAGAATTATGGCTCTTTTCCAGCTCTGTGGTAATGTTCCTTCTTTCCATATTTTATTGAATAGTTTTAAAAAGATATTTAACGTAGTTTCCGGTAGATGTCTAAACATGACACAACACAGGCTGTCCTCTCCTGGAGCTGAATATCTTTTAACACCATTTTGATTTCTTTCATCGTTCTCTGTTCATCAAGAGTTGACATGGATCTGTTTTTCTTCTGACCTCCGTTACTGAATGATTTGAGTTTTTGTTCCTTTTGCTGCCTCTGATCATTTCCCAGATGTTCTCCACTGTGGACTGCAGCCTCACCCACAGACTCAGCCTCGTCTTTATCAGAAACATTATCTCATTATTTTTAATCAAAGCTGGAATTTTAACTTCACTTCTTTTCCCACTCATTTTCTTAATCAACAATGATCCCTCCAGGTTTTCTTTTTAAAATCTAAGGTTTTCTTCATTCACATTTTTCTGTAATGTTTTAAGAGCCTTGTTTCTTTAATTACTTTACTACATCATCATTCCACCATGGAACCACTTTTGATGTTTTTTATTACTACTTTTGGAACGCTTGAGTTTGCTGCATTTAAAATCACTTCTGTTTCCTGGCTATTGCATTCATCTACGTTTCCTTTAAGATTTACTAAATGACCATTTTTCTCACAATTAATTTTAAAAGTTTCCCAGTTATCTTTCTTAAAGCACCATCTGGTTGAGATTATTTCCTCTTTATTGGTTATACTGTCATTTATAATTGTGCTAACAGGAAAGTGGTCACTCCCCAGTGTAGTATCTCCATTTATACTCCATTCACAGGATTTATGAGTTTATCTGACACTAGAGTTAAATCTAAACATGATGCTGAACCTTTATTGATATTAAATCGTGTGCCATGACCATCATTAAGACAAACCAGAGATCTTTCATCCATCATTTCTTCAACAATGTTGCCGTTACTGTCTGTTTTGCTGCTTCCCCATAAACTATTGTGAGCATTAAAGTCTCCACACCAGATTTCTCTCCTGTTTGTACCTCCACATATTTCCTTAAATACATCATTATCTAGGTTTTTACATGGGTTATAAAAATGTATCATCTTAATATGTCCAGTTATTTTTAAGTTGTAAATTTCAATGCTAACACTTTCATATTCTGTTGAGTTGTAAATTTCCTTGTATGCTATTCCATCCTTAATAAAAGTTGCACACCCTCCTCCACTACTTCCAGTACTTCTGTCTTTCCTTATTGTACTGTATCCATGAAGTTTAAAGTCTAAATGTGGTTTTAACCATGTTTCCTGTACACAGATTATATCTGGTATTATTTCTAACTGGTAGATGTATTTTTTTAAGTTCTTGTCCATTAGCTATCAAACTCCTAGCATTCCATTGTAGAACATGAAAAACCATTCCTAGTCCTTTCCTTGACCTTTTCCTGTTGGTTCAATTGGTTTTAGTAGAGTGGATCTGATCTGCTTGGATTTATTTCATATCCAGAAACTTTCCTGCTGCTTCCACTATTGTTTTTATTTGATCACTTTTCTTTGTCATTTGTATCGTTACATTAACAATGTGACACATGAATGCCACAAACTTGTCCTTGTCCACCATCATTGAGTTTACCTTTGTGATTGCATGTGGCGTGTTCTGCTGCTGCTGGTACCAGTGATTGCTCTGGTTCCTCTGAGTATCATTTACACTTTGCACCCATCTCTGGATAGTTTCTTCATTCCTCACTTCTTTTGTATTTACGTTCTTCACCCTCTTCAGCGCTTCAGGTATGAAACTCTCTGTAATTTTGCTTCTTTGTTCTTCTCTGGCTTCTCTCTGAACCACACGTCCTCCACATGCTGC